TTGGATCTCTTTTGATCCGCCAATTCAGCAAGAATTGTAGTCTTCTGCATCTTCAACGCTACAATCCGTTCATCCTTGTTCTGCAGCTACTTTATAATCACGGGATCAGCATACGAAACTTGAAAAAAGGACACGAAACAGCAGAACGATCCAAACAGACCAAACACCATTTCTTCTTTGGAACCACCTATAAAAAATTTAAATAAGTTAAATATCAGTAATTAATTTAAATGACAATGAAATAAAAAATTAAAAAAATTACATGTTCAACCATTTCGTTTATTCGAAGCCGAAAAAAGTTGGTGAAACCTGCCATGGAATTGTCATCAGAAATTGGCTGAGATGCTAGGAAAACTTCTTTTTGGGTTTGCAAAAACTCTATGACCTCTCTCATGACGGGATCTTTAATTTCACCCGTCTTCTTATTAGTACGCCTCCCTCGTGACATCGACATGATTAACGAGATTACCGACATTTGCTTCAACCTTAAAAACAATTAATCAATAAATATATAAACAGTAATTTTTAAACATATATAGAACTTAAATATATATAACTTACAAGTTGATCCTCCTTAGTAGACATACTTCCAGGCCTGAGGTTGTGGACAAAACAACCTTTCCCGCCACGATCGCTGTTGGATGAGTTCCTGAGAGATTTATCTATAGTTGCTTGTTTCTCCCAATGCACCTGTAACTCTTGCCAAATTGTGCCGTTGATATTCTTGGTGTCTTGCCCTTGAGCCATAGCTGCTTCCACTCAGTTGGTTAATGCATCTAGTAATGCCGTTATTCGACTTGTTGAACTTAAAAAAACAAAAAAATAAGTTAAAATAAAATAAAATAATAAATAAAAATTATATAAGAATTAAAAGGAGAAAACTTACCACGTAGTGTATCCCTATGGAAGGGGATGGAGCACCCGGAGATGCTCTCGGCCTGGTTGTAGAACCAATACCTCAACCGGCATGCTACCCGGTTCATATTGAGCAGCTGGATCCGGAGGTAGAACCTGAGGAGGAGATGGAAGAGGAATAGACGGGACTGATTTTTGCTCGTGTGACGATCCCGATGCACAGGAACTACTCTCAGTATGAAGCTAGTCTCGAGGTGCGAAACGTCGTAGAGACTTAACAGAAACCTTGAAACCTACAATAGAAAATAACAGTTGTTAGACAAAAAGTTTAAATATATATTTCATAATAATATTTATATATTTAAATTTTTATAAATTTTTATAATTCCTAAAATCTAATTACAGCTTTTTAAAACATTTTTCAGAATAAAAATTAAAACATTTTTTTAGAAATATACTTAACATTTAAATAATGTTTAATATATATGTAAAACTTATATATATATATATATATATATAACATTTGTAAAAGTATGTAAAACGTTTTTAAATTTTTTTTTACATAGTTTCCAAAACTTTTATAAAATTTATAATATTTGCAAAATGTTTTTATATATTATAAAAATAATATCCAAGGGTTTTTATTATTAGTAAAAATTAGTAAAACGTTTAAACATTTTTATCATATATAAAACTAGTAAAACGTTTTAAAATTGTAAACGTTTTGGAAAATTTATGAAAAAAAATTATAAAAATATCTAAAACAACATAAATCACAATCCAAACAAAATCTAACATATAATTCCTAAATTTATTCATGTTAAATTTACATTCCAAACCTTAAATCTACAAATCTAACATCTAATAACTAAAATAACCAAATCTAACATCTAAAACCTAAAATCAAGAAATCTAACATCTAAAATTTAAATAAATCAAGTTTAAAGAAATAATTTAGAAGATAATATTAGGACATTGGGTTGGGATTTGGGAGGGTTGAGAGGGAGAGAAATCGCCGGTGAAGAGCTCTAGAGACGGGGAGAAGAGAGAGAAAAATAAGAAAGAAGAAGAAGAGGATTATGTCTTAAAAAACGATGGACCGAGTTTCGTAAAAATTCTGTCTGTTTGGGTTTTTAGTAGTTTGTGCAAATTTTTTGGCTTTTCACTTTCCCGAGAAGTAAAAATTTCTGACGGAATTCCACAATATTTCTAAAGGCATCCGATATTCGTCGGAATATTTAAAAAATCAGCAATATCATTTAACGAGGCATGTAAAATATTATATATTTGACGAAATTTTGTCAAAAATTCCCGACAAAATTCCGACGAAACTTATATATGCTTTGCTTGTATTTTGATTGGTCGAAATACGTGGCTTTAGAATTTTTTTGCACATTTCATCGAAATTTCGTTGGAAATTTCATCGAAATTTCTTCAGACATTTCTGACAAAATTCTGACGATTTTTTCATTTTCATCGGGATTCCGACGAAATAGCGTTTGAGGTTCAAAATCATCAACTAATTATCAAATACATATCTTTGATAGTATATAAATGATTTGCAAGTGGTTTAACTAAAAAGTTAAGTGCTTAACTCAATATTATACGAAATCAAAATATAGAATTAGATTAGCGTGATATGTTTGTATAAATATATAGGTGTTGATGTAAGATGTTATGAATACGACGATATTCATATGTAACGAATTTTTAAGATGAAAAACTCAAATTGATTGTCAACTAATTTCCTATTATCCACTTATATAAGTGTTATTTGGTTATTTTAAGTATCCACATTCACATATATATTAATTTTGCAAATATAAAATTATTGTCGTCGCAAATCCATCAGAATATTCTGATGAAATTCAGACGAAAACTAGGTATTCGTCGGAATTTTTCGATGGATTTCTGACGAATATTAAATCCATGTCAAAACCCCAAAATTTATATAGTTCCTCGTAATATTTCGACAAATTCTTTTTATATGCTATTAAAATTGTAAAATACCCCAAACACTTATAAAAAATACTTCAAAACTTATAAAAGAACTTGAAACTTATAAAAAATACTTCCATAATTTATTAAAAAAAATTGAAATAACTTATAAAAAATACTTCAATAATTTATATAAGAATACTTCAATAACTTATATAAAGAAACTAGAGTAAACCCGCCATACGGGTGGGCGACGAAATAAATAAAAATATATATTTTTTTTTGTAAAAATATTTAATTAGTTTTAACTAAAAGTAGCATTAACATTTATAACTTTTTACAACAATTTTAACTGTATATACAATTTTAAATTTCTACTATTCATTTTAAAAATTATATTTCTTAATTATAAAAAACTTAAAATGAAATTCTTTTCTTTCTCTTAATTTTAATTTTAATTTCACTATATCAATAAGTAACATAGAGTTTTCTTTTTTAAATTACTGTCGATTGGAGTAAGTAGAGTGAAGTTATTATCTTCGTCATTTATATATTTGTTTCATGAATTGAATTTTTTATTTTCTTTATACTATTTTTTAAAAATTGATTACGTGATGTAAAAGAAATAACTTATTCATTATAAATAAAAATGGTTAAAGATATATAAATAGATAGAAATTATCATTAATTTTTATACATACACATGTTGATTAGAATATTATATGTATTATAGTATGTGGAAATGAAGTTAACCGTATTATAAAAATAATTGATTAAAAGTTTAAAAATTATTATTAATGATTAATATATAGAGTAAAATCCTTATAATAATTTTATTAAATATGATTAAATTATGTAATATTGATTGTATTTTATTAAAAATAAACGTATTTCTTCTATTTATTAAAATTTAATATTTTTTATGTTCATATATATACATATATACAAAAAGTAAATTCTAATTTGAAAATAGTAGAATTTTTTTATTAAATTTATTAATTGTTAAGATAATGATGAAAAGGCTGTTTTGGTTTATTTAAAATAGTCCAACCGAAATATTTAATAAGAAAGTTTAAATAGAAATATGAATAAAAAATATGATGTATCATTATAAAATTATTTTTAAAATGTTGATGTATTAATTTTTTGAATCTGTTTTATTATATAACACCAACAAAATTTACTTAACCCGATTTGCTTAACCAATGGATTTCGTTAATGAATTACTTAAATTTTTGAACCGAAGTTTTCTCAAAAAAATAATATTTAACCGAAGCGTAAAACTGTACTGACCTGGTTTGCTTAACCAATTGCTTAGTTAAGGAATTAGTTAATACCGTGCTTACATACCTAATTATCTATTTTTGGGTCAAGGGATAGCTAATTATATATACCTTTTTCCAATAGAAATCACATAGTATTAGTGTAAGGCTATTGTATGTTTTCTTTCAAAATGTACTGACGTAAATGCATGGTACCAATCACACTATATCTTGCCTCTTTGTATTGGTTAGACCATGTGTACAAAAGTTTTTTATGAGTTATATTATAACTATATTATAAATGGATAGAGCCGAAAATAATCTGTTTTAAGATATTTTAGTTTTACATACAATAATTTTTTACTTATTGTTATAATTAAAGTAGGACTAAAATTTAAATTTTCAAATGTAAAATATATATAAATTAAATTAACCATATAATCTATTAAAAATAATAAAATGAAAATAGTGGAAGTTAGTGTTATATTCAACGTAGAGTAAAATTTACATTTCTAAATGTTAACTATCGAAGACATTGGTAACCTTACCGATGAAGGAAAAGCTACTTCTAAATGTTATTACCAAAGTATAACAAATTTTGTGTTGTGGTTTTTATATGTATTATGGTTGAGATTTCACATGATAATGCATGGATAAGTAAAACTGAGTTTTTTCGTCTATAAACAAAACAACCTAGACAACAAAGCTAAGCTATTAAAATATGTATTGATCGTGTTTTCACTTTAGTTCAGTGTTTTCACTTTCGCTCCCACATCCCACCTTGGAAAATATGGTAGACTTTGTTGTTGACAATCTCTAGATTAAACTACTTCCTTTACGTAAGATTGTTGGAAGCTCATTTATTCATGTCTATAAACCCTAAAAATAATATGATGTGATTAAAACCGTTTATGAAATGTAGATATAAGTCATTGCGTATCATTAAAAGTTTGTTTACAAAGGTGTACATGTGTACAAACTAAGATGTATTTGAGTTTATGATCTTGGATTTAGTTTTTGAATAATCTTTTACATACCAAACTACTAATATGCCAGAGTAATAGCTACAAAGAGTATCATACTGTACTTAGAAAGAGTTTTGTGAGCTTGTTCATTATTTGGCCAACATTTATATATGTAGCATCACCCGTTTGTGATTTCAATGTCTGCAACTTTGCTGGTCCAGACTATAGTCTGTGAAACATTGAGGTAAGGAACATGAGAATCAAAGATTTTGGGGTTTATGCTTGTTGCAGCAACTCTTGGATCAATACGGAAGCCATCTAGGAGTTTGTGAAACGATACAGCTTGTGAGTCGAACAAACTCAAAGTCACAGAAACATCACTGAAAATGGTAAATCAGAAAAATAATTGGTCAAACGTTTTGTTTTCCTTTTTAAAACGGGTTTATACGATTATGAATTGAGAAGAGCCACAATATAAATAAGATAGTTTAGTTACCTATTGATTTTAATCGTTGCTATGAAACATGACAGAGGACCTCCAAAAATCATGGGGTTATTGCTTGTTGCAACATCATCATAAGTGGGAGCAGTTGTAGCTCTTCGGTCATGACACAATGTTTTTCTTGTGTAGGATCACTCACAATACTACTCACAGCTGATTGCTCACCGATAAGGTCTACAAAGAAATCAAGAAGTCAATATTACTTTCCAATGTTGATCCTGGGATACATAGATATGGAGATGATTACCAGGAAGTTGGGTGATTATGTTGGCAAGCCTAAGTAGCTCACTGTGATTAGAGAACCCGAAGCATTCTTCAGGAATTGATAGAACCGGCTCGGTTATCTCTTCAAATTCAATTGAAGCACTGAACCGAATTAGTGGAGGTGAGTCAGAAAGCATGTAATTCTGATTGCAGTGAGTTACATCAATCAGCCTAAGGAGTACATCAAACTCACCTTAAAGGATGCTGGTAAGTTGTGATGAGACGGTGTAAGTTGACGGCGGTGGGTATGAGGGTCGTCTGAAACAGTAAAAAAATAAATAAAAAATTAATCAACAAAGGGATTCAAAACCAATTAGCAGAAAGATTTAATATATTGTTGAATACATAAGATTGATAAGAGTATAAACGCCGTCATGTGTCCAAAACAGAGGATGATAATAAGTTTAGAGATCGGAACAACCTTATTGTTGAGGAGAAACATGTCCACGACCATCAGATTGTGACCTCCTTTTGCATAGCTTCCAAGAATCTCATGAGTCGCACCTCCACCGTGGATAACGCCGGCTGGATTTCAAATAAGCTAGTATGATGGAAGACTGAACCATAAATCGAAGAATATGAGTTTCTGCTGGTTTTTGGAATCAGGAGGATGATTTTCGAAAGGTGAAGTCTCCCCTTTTTAAAATGAAGATCCACTTGCAGATAAGAAGTATTCAATAATCAGTCATGGTTGGCGTGGGTCCAAGGATTAAAGAATGTTGTTAATGGTGATCAATTGCTTGACTGCGTAACATATCAGATATCAAAAGCAAGCGTAACGACATGAAAGGTGAAGGACACAAAGGTTGATTATGTAGAATCTGTCTCGCAGTTCCTTCAGAACCTATATGGTGTTTGACAGTGGCGGATCCAAAAATAAATTTAAGAGGTGTTATAGGTGGGGTTCGAACTAGGGTTTAGGGTGTCAAGAGAGACTTTTCCTAACAGAGCTGTTGAATTTTCATTGTTTTAGAGAACAAAATATTAATTATAGCAATTTAAGGGGTGTCACTTGACACCCTATTGGCTCAAGTAGATCCGCCCCTGGTGTTTGATATGATCGGATATGGAGGAGAAGACGAACGCTATCTTCCCATGTAGATGAAGGCAGAAAAGATGTAATTCTAGCCTTTAGTTTACTTTGTTGGCCCAATTATAATAAACACTTGGAAAGGCTGGTTACGTAAGAGAATGACACATTAGTAGATTTGTCAAAGCCCATTAGGATTTGTCCATACACGAGAAACCGTAAAGCTGTAAAATTAGAGTGCCAAAGCTGTAAAATTAGAGTGCCACATGTCACACTCTCATCCCTTATTTGATGACATGGCGCTTTAAGGAAGGAAAAAATCTATAACATTATTTGAGAAGTAAATTTGCTTGGTTGTCAACTTCTCCATGATTTTAGGTTATTTTGATTATTTTCATATTTTAATAATTTATTATAAAATTAAAACGAATTTATGTTAATAATATTATATTTGTTGATTACTTTGTAACTCTCACGTTGAAAGTTAGAGCAGTTAATATTGTTTAAAATAAATAAAAAAGAATTTCAATGATTTTAGATTTATCTTTATCTAAAACTATTTTATATTGGGTTATAAAGTCTTTATTAACCTTGAAAAACAATTATATTAGTTAATATATAATTAACTATAAATTAAAAACGAATTTCATTTATTTGATAATTATCCTTATTTTAGTTTTTTTTATATTATGGGATAAAGTCTTTATTTTGAAAAATAATTATATTTGTTAACATATAATTAATTCTAAATTAAAAAATGAATCTCATGAATTTGATAATTATCTTTACCTAACATTTTTATATTATATTATAAAGTCTTTATTAACGTTGAAAACTAATTCTATTTGTTAATATATAGTTAATTATGAAAAATAAATTCGCGAAGAATTTAAGTATAGATAATTTATATTGTGTTATCCAAAACATTATTAAAGATAATTTTTATTCTTTTTTGTTATGTCTAAAAATGATATTAATTTATTACTAAATGTTTTATATGATGATGAAAAATTTTATATATAGAAAGAATTTGTTTAGTTTATTATTAAATATTTTGAGTCTATGAACTCTAATTTATTATAATTTACATAAATTGATTCTATATTTATTTATAGATATTAGTAAAATTATTAAGCCCGCAAGTGCGGGCAAAACACCTAGTGCTACTTTATATAATTAGATTTCAACTTATATTATCTAAATCTACTCAGAATCTGTAGTATTTTCGTCAAACTCTCCAACTTCAACTTCAAACTCTCCAACTTCAGCCTCTGAATCTTAGTGTACAACATCATCATTTCCAAACTGCGTAAAATCAATAGCGGGTTCAACATATTATAAACCTTTAATTGGGCTTACGTTGCTGGTAGAGGTGGGTTGTAATGGGTCATTATTATAACTTTGATATACTCGTCCTCTTAGGTTGATTGACTTTGCAAAAACCTAAGGATTGTCTCTGTACGTAATGTGAGGTAACTGATGTAGCAAACTTGTAAATAAAATTGTAGGTATTAGTAATATGTGTAATGATAAATATACATATTTTTGAACATTAATAAATTGACATATCTGATCAGTTTCAGAAGCGAGAATGAAATGATTATAATATTGAAGTTTCCTTCTTGAATGAACCGATGTAACACCAAATGCGTCAGTTTTCACCCCTCGGTCTGAGGTGTTATCATACCAATCACAACAGAATACAATACACTACAATCTAACCGTACCAGGATACTGAATCTCCAAAATATTTTGTATATTGTCGTAGTACACATCGTCTCCGGTAAAGACGAAACATTAGCATCAGAAGTTGTCTTATAATGGCCTTCCTTTGAGAATGCATATCCTCGAGTTGTATATTTTGAATATAATTTGACTATATAATTTGGTCCTCGCACAAATTTCGAGTATTCAATTATCGAACACTTCATCTCTAGCCAAACCTTCAGTCACCTATAAATAAAACATGTTAATGTTTTTAGTGGTGATAAATTATTTCATTAAATATAGAAGAATTATTTGGAATAACTCAAATATGTCTTAAAACTATTAGAATGACTCATAAAAAATTAATTACTACAGTCAAATGGGATACACACCAAATTACAAACAAACCCTTGATCTAGCTTGCCATCGACATACAAAAAAAAACAAAAAAAAGAGTTACAACAAAAACAATAGGAAAACGAAGGCTTTTGTCTGAGTCTCTCTCTCAACAAGTCACGAAACCAAAGTTGGACAATCTCCGATTGAGAGTTGCCGTCATCCCCATCCCACTCCGACAACATCTCCTCTGTCACAGCCCCTTCAATTTCTTCATCTCCTCCGTCACAGATCTCCGACACCAATGACCTTTTGAAGGTTCTCCGAAGTGGCTCCATGGAGAGTATGAGCTCGTGAGAGACAAGAGAGAGTAAGATTGAGAGAGTTTTGATAACCAGAATATGAAGAAAAAGACTTTCTCTTCTTGATTTGCCTTAGGTTACAGCTTTTAATAGGCAAAGACAAACAATAAACAATGACTGAATCTAGGTTCTATTAAATAATTACTTCTGTAGGGAAATAGAAGAGGCCAAAGGAGAAGAAGACAAGGGCTGGCTCGTTCAGATGAGGAGAAAGGGACAGGAGGAGAGATGGTGGTGCAATCTCCCATTGATGAAAGTGACAGCTCAGGGTAAAGTCATTGCACATGTGATCTTCTTTCTTTATTATAAAATAACTCCTTATGTTTGAATTCAAACCAGGTGGTTTCTGGAGCCAACAAACGGCCACAAGCCTCTCCCCAACTCCTTCCTTGCCTTGCAAGTCACTCATGAGCGAGAGACAGTTTGAACAAACTGCCCTAAATCTGCTCCACTTGATGCACTTGACATGAGGCTTGTTCAGCTTGCTTCCTCTGGTCATTATTTTCTCTATCTCAACACTCCCCCTCAAGCTTGACCATAGGAGATCCTTGGGAAAGCTTGGAACTGAGAGTACTTGCCTCATTAAAAACCTAAGCATATAAAACCCTTTGGGATAAAACCACACTTACGAAAAGAGTACAAGCCTCTCAGCCTAGGGATTGGCCAGTGGGTTTATGAGCCTCATGGTCAGGTTTTGAAACTCATAAACCCTGGATCATGGCCCTTTTCAGTTGCAATTCAGGCCCCGTGTTCATCGTCGACCTCTTCCTCCACCATGCTCAGCCGCAAGTTCTCCATCTCCACCGTGAAACTAAAGAACGGATTCACTCGTCGTCGTCAAATCCTTGGACCTCCGCTAACCACAACTCCTCTCTGGGTCGTGTTCTCACCGGGATTCACAGCCATGAAAAGATTCTCCGCCGTGTCGTGTTCGCAAAGGCTCGCCGTCGTCGTCCATAAGATCCGGCGAGAAGAGGATTGAGCAACGTCAATGGCCACTTTTAGCCATTTTACAAAACATGTCCATGAACTCCTGGTTATTTCTAAACTGGCCCACGGCTTTGTAAAATGCAGAATCATCCCAACAAATCATCCCCAAACATTTCAATCTTACAATTTAGCCGAAACGAATATTCAGCATTTGCGCATTCGACCATGCACTCTTTATGACTTCGTTTCTGACCCAAAACTTCCATAATGTACAAGTTAACCCTTAATTTTCGCCATAAACTTTCAGAATGAACATTCCAGCCCCCTAATGCATACAAATGAACATATATGCAATCTAGACACCTAAATGCAACTCAAAACACTAATATAAATAAGAAAAAGATATTAAAAATTATTAGAAACACTACTTATCACAATGTGTATTGTTAACTAAGAGATTCAAATTTGAAATCTGGGTATAAGTTGGTTATTTTGGCACTGGTTCGGTTCAACATAATTTTAAGTGGGAAATACTTGATAGAGAATCTGATAGAATCAGGACTAAGTCAACTTCTATCAACATCTTAAAACCAGATCGCATTTTTAGTATTTGAGCTTTTAGGCTCAAATAATCAGAATACAGTTGAAACTGTAACTTCTTAACGAAGCTGGAATTGTGGTCTTAATCTACTAGAAATAAACCAAATTTGGAATTGCAATAAACCAGATTTAAATCTGAAATAATTTAGTTTAGTTTACTAAAATTCGGAATTAAATCAACAAATCTGCCACTTCATAAACTAAAAAGTATGCCACCTCGTAAGTAAACAAGTCTGCCGTATATATAATCAGTTATATATCTCTACAAAAAGAAACTAAGTCGATCACAAAAAACTATCATTTTCAACAATTCTGTTGTGTCATCCGACATACATATTTCAAAAATCAATTTTCTATACAAATCGGAAAAATAAGTCTACCATAGAAATAAATCTGAAGCTTTAAAGAAAATCTGCCACCTCTTTTATGATAAATTATATTTTCTTATCCAATTTAGACAACAGATTTAGTGTGGGATAGCTTTATTTTTTCGAAATTTAATCTGTCGACAACCTAATTTGAAGGGCACATTGGTAATTATTTTTTTGGGTATAACTAAGGCCAAGGGAAATTTCGACCAGAAAACATTCTAATAAATTTTTTAAAATATGAGTCATTCTAGTA